GACTTTGGTTGCGGCCATCGTAGATGAAATACTGGTAGTGGATTCTATTGGATCAATGGTAGTCATATCTCAAAGGGGACTAAGTGAAGGTTAACCTTCTGAGATCACTGATGGATATCATTGGAAGGAAATCCTAATAGGATATTATGGAGAATCAGATTATGTTGGGTCAATGAACATTATATCCGGTTTAGATCTCTGAAAGCATCATTGGATGTTAGTCACTGGTAGTTGCCCGTGCGATTGTAATCAGATTGATTATAGTGGATTAAGTCCTTGAGATTAAGGCGAAATCACCTCGGAAGGGTGGAATGTACTAGCTTAGGGATTTCTTAAGTGAACCAGGATATATCGCATGTTTTTCACTTTTGCTTAAGCTTTAGAGTTTATGTTTTCAGAACTTAATTAGAAGCATTACTTAGAAGTAATAATCAGAAGCATTGTTCAATGAATAATGTTTAGAAGCGAAAGTTTTACAAGAAAGGAAAATCTAATTCAACCCCCCCTTCTTGCGTTTTCTTCACACTTCCCCAATGTCCAACAATGTTATTCTCATCCAATTTCAATTCACAACATACATCTACACAAAATTCAAGTATCATGTTCATAGCATTCTCATAGCATTAATCAACTCAACACACCTTAAAAATATATTATGCATACCATAACACAACGTTATGGTATTACCATTCACCAAACATGTTATCAACTCATCATGTTATAAGCAATAACAATAGTGCAACATCACCACATTACAATAATACAACACACAAATAAATGACATTTTACACAACCAAGCATTAATTAAATTACCTACTACCATTAAGACTATTTTTATTTAAAATAATGTCACGCTAGATTTCTAACGCTTCGAACGGGGATTCAAACGGAGCTACGGTTAAAAAGTTATAATTTTTTGAAGCTTTTACAAATTACAAACCCAGACATCATACACTGACACCACAAAACTCCATTAAACACCAATTAAAATTATTTCCAGAATATAAAACCATTTTTACAAGAAAGTACACTATATTAACTTTCCCCAAGTTCAAACAGTGAGTCAAACGAACACCTGAAGCTCAAGTAATGAATTTTTGAAGTTTCATAAAAATAGTTGTCAGAATTGACGGAAATCAATAGTAGTTGTACGAAAATTCGTTTCATCCCAATTTCAAAATCCCAAATTTCATGAAACATTTCATATTCAAACTCCAAAATCTGATTACCAGCAACACACATCATTACAACACTATTACTCATCATATTCAATAATTTCTCATCAAAATCTAAGCATATCAAAAACCTATAAATTGACATCTAAATCCCTAAATAACGTATTCTACCCATTACATACATTATATAATTTCATAATCAAATGACAACCCACCCTTACCTTGGATGTAGATCCTTTTCTAGGGTTCTCTCTTCTTCTCTTCTCTTTTTGCATCTTTTCCTCTTTCTTCTCTTCTCTTGTTTGACAACTTCTCTCTCTAGATTTATTTTCTTTTTGTTTTACATACTACCTATTGTTTTACTCTGATGGACTTATCTCACCCACTCACACTAATGTTACACATAAGGTCCAACTAATTAATAATGCTATCATCATACTTACTAACTCAATTACACATATAACACATATTCTCAATTTATAAAATAAATCATATATCAACATCACACCAATTAATCCAAATAACTCATATATTCACAAAATCACACAATTTAATTAATTACTATATTATATAATAATTAATAAAATAAATATATAACTAATAAATAAAATTGGGATGTTACAACTCTTCCCCACTTAAAATATTTTTGTCCTCGAAAATTACTTCAAACAAACAACTCAGGATAAGACTCTCTCATGTGGCTCTCGAGTTCCCGAGTCACGTTTCCACCCATCAATCCTCCCCAAGCTACCTTCACCAAGGCAACCTCTTTACCATAAAGCTACTTCAACTCCCGATCCTCTATCCGCATAGGTGATGTCTCCACATTCAGGTTATCTCTTACCTGCACATCATCTAATTGAACCACATGAGACGGATCTGCAATGTATCTCCTCAGCTGAGACACATGAAATACATTATGGAGATTAGCAAGCGATGGTGGCTAGGCAATTTGATAAGCCACTTTATCTACATTTTCTGAAATCTGATAAGGACCAATAAAAGATGGCGTCAACTTACGCGACTTCAACGCTCGACCAACACCCGTTACCTAAGTAACTCGAAGAAACACATGATCCCCCTTCTCAAACTCAAGTGCTTTCCTCCTCTTATCATGATAACTCTTCTGACGACTCTGAGAAGCCTTCATCTTCTCCTGGATCATCTTAATATTATCGATAGTCTGCTGGACTATCTCAGGTCCAACCACAACACTCTCTCTCGACTCATACCAACACAAAGCGTCTTACACCTTCTACCATACAAAGCCTCAAACGGTGCCATTTCAATACTCAAATGAAAACTATTGTTATATGTAAACTCAATCAAAGGCAAGTAACTATTCCAAGCAACTCCTTGTTCCAATACATGAGCTCTCAAAAGATTCTCAAGTGTCTGAGTCGTTCTCTCAGTCTGACCATCTGTCCGCGAATGGTAAGCAGAACTCAAATGCAACTTCGTACGAAAAACATTTTGCAAACCTTCCCAAAATCTCGAAGTAAACCTCGTACCCGTATCTAATAAAATGCTAGATGGAATATCATGCAAACTGACAATATTTTCAATGTAAAACTTTGCAAGCTTCTCCATTGGATAATCTATTCTCATCGGAATAAAGTGAGCAGATTTCGGCAACCTGTCCACAATAACCCAAATAGCCTCAAAATTACCCAGTGTTCTGGGTAGACCAGAAACAAAATCCATAGAGATATTATCTCATTTCCATTCAGGAATAGATAACAGTTGCATCAAACCAAACAGTTTCTGATGTTCAATCTTCAACTTCTAACATATCAAACAAGAATACACAAATTTCGTAATCTCTTTCTTCATACTTGGTCACTCAAATAATTTCCTCAAACACTGATACATCTTAGTAGCTCCATGATGAATACTCAATCCATTACGATGCCCTTCCTCAAGAATCCTCTTCTTCAAATCAACTATATCTCGAACACAAACTCTGTTATGACATCTCACGATACCATTCTCATAAATCCAAAAATCTCCACCTCAACCTTAATTGATCAACGTCAACCTATCCACCAAAATCAAATCAGATTTCTGACCTTCTTGAATCTCATCAATAATGTCACTAGTAAGCTTCAATATACCAATATTAACTCCAAAATAAGTCTCCTCACAAATCAAACTCATATCTCGAAATTGTTCAAGTAATTCCAACTCTTGCACCATCAACATCGACATATGCAAAGACTTCCTACTTAATGCATCAACCACAACATTCGCTTTACCTGGATGGTAATTCAAACCAAAATCATAATCCTTCAAGAATTTCAACCATCTTATTTGCCTAATATTTAACTCTTTTTGATCAAACAGATATTTCAAACTCTTGTGATCACTAAACACATTAAATCTCGACCCAAACAAATAATGCCTCAAAAGTTTCGATACAAACGCAACAACAATTAACTCTAAATCACGAGTCGGATAATTCCTATCACGCACTTTGAGTTGCCTTGAAGTATAAGCTACAACTTGCTAATTTTACATCAACACACCTCTCAATCCCATCAACAAAGCATCACAATACACTACAAATGGTTCTTCCCGATTATCCAAAATCAATACAGGAGTTGTCGTCAACTTTCTTTAAGTTCTTGAAAACTTTCTTCAAATTTTGTATTCCAAACAAAAGCTTGACCTTTCCGCGTCAATTGCGTCAACGACAAAGCTAACTTGGAAAATACTTCAATAAACTTCCGATAATAGCCTGCTAAATCAAGAAAACTTATAATCTCAGAAATAGATTTCGGAGCTTCCCATTGAGACACAGCCTAATCTTAGACGAATCAATAGAAATACCACTATTCGATATCACATGACCAAGAAAACTCACTTTCTTCAACCAAAACTCACACTTAGAAAGTAGAATACATCCGCTTCTCTTTCAACACAGATAACACAATCTTCAGATGTTCAACACAATCCTCTTCACTCTTTGAATAGATCAAAATATCATCAATAAAAACAACCACCAACTTATCCAAGTACTGATGGAAAATCTTGTTCATGTATTCCATAAATACACCAGGTGCATTGGTCATACTGAACAGCTTCACAGATACTCATAGTGACCATACCTCATTCTAAAACAATCTTCTGAATATCTTCAACCTTCACACGAAACTAATGATACCCAGACCTCAAATCTATCATAATGAAAAAAAAACAATGTTTCCCAAATCCCAGAATTTCTATCAATGAAACAATGTTTCCTAAATTCCAGAATTTCTAACCAGGAGCTCTAGATATCAATTGTTGGTGCACAAGGAAGATAAAAAGCAAAGAAATATATTTACTGACAGCTTCAAAATAAGGATTTACAATGAATTACAATAACCTACTCCACTAGACTATTTATACACAAAATTAAACCTAAAATATATCTTCTAACAAAGATATAAGAAGATCTAAGATATATATCTTCTAACAAAGACATAAACAATCTAAAAGATATTCCTAAATATAAATTAATATCTGATTAATTATAAAATCTAAATTAATTCTAACATTTAGTAAGTTAAATTCTTAATTATTTTTTTAAATTTTTTTAATACATGAGAAATTGACATATAATAAAAAGGGATGTAGTAATATTTTAATCAAATAAGGGAGTAAGTCACAACCTCATTAATTAAAGTCTCTTATTTTATTCTCTAGTCAAACTAACTTCACTTTCACTTCACCACTTACACATAATACAAAAATAACAACCACACAAACCACCTATCAAAAACCCTTCACACCAATTCCATACCTTTCTTCAAAACTCTTGAACCCTTTTCCTCATTCTCCACAATGCAATCTCAATCTAACTCACCCATCAAACCAATGAATTCCCTCACTCAAATCTTCCAAAACATTTTCTCAGAAAACAGCAACATCATGCTTGCTGCTATCATTTCTTTACTACTAGTCATTCTCTTTGTTCTTCTTCTTCATCTTTATGCCAAATGGTTCCTAGCTCAAGCACATTCTCAAGCACAAGCTCGCCGCCGCCGTCGCCGGAGAACAACTGTAACCGTCTCTGATGTCCTTGGCCCTGCTAGGTTCCATCACTTCCATACCTTCAACATTGAAGACTCACCTCTCTCTAGCTCACACACCAAAGGTCTTGACTCTTCCATCATTGCTTCAATTCCTTTGTTTGTTTACACACAAGAGAATGAAAGTGAACAAGAAGAAAAACTCGAGTGCGTGATTTGTTTGAGTGGTTTTGAAAACGGTGAAATGGGAAGGTGTTTACCGAAATGCGGACACGGTTTTCACGTGGAGTGTATTGATATGTGGTTGAGTTCTCATTCTAATTGTCCTATTTGTAGAGCTTCAATTGTTGCTTTAGAGAATGGTGATTCTTCTGGTGTTGTTGATGATTCTTGTTCTGTTGAAATTGTAATTGAGGAAAGTTCTAGTTCAGAGATGAGAGAGAGTGAACAAGGGAATGATAACGATGATGGAATTGGAAGGGTAAGTGATTCTGTTTCAGATCAAACTTCATCTTCATTGTTTGGTTGCTCTTTGAAGACAGTTTTCAGCAAAGTTTTCACATCTTCCAATGTTATTGTATCATAATATCTATATATTTTGTGTATATTACTAAGAAGTTTCCAATGTTATTTCTTCTGCCAAGTCTAAATTCAACTATGAAGCATACATAACTAAATTTTAACTCACTTATTTTTCTGCAAAAACAGAATCTATAACACAAATTTCTGAGCAGCAGCACTAGCATAAACCCGATTTGTAATAATTATGATAAGAGGGAACAACAATGAAGCTAGAAAGTGGAACTGTTACTACTGCAAGAGTCTATGAGAAAAGACAAAAGAGAGAATACTTATTTTGTAGCAGTTGATGTATGGGTCACTGGAATGACATGATACGCTTTTAACGGCAATTGATTGATTGTTTCTGAGATCTGTAACTTCTGAGATGTATTGTTTTCTGTCCATCAAAATTAGATCACTACAAACATGTGTTGTCACTGTTCCTGAAATGTAAGGGATTCATGACACATCATTCATCACTAAACGAAATAATATTCATTTTAAAATAAAGAGAATAGTAACAATAATTATTTTTTAGATATGTAAAAAAAATTTAAAAGTGATAATTATAAAAGAATGGAGAAAATAATATTTTAATAAGAGATGCTAATAATTTAGAGAAGAAAATATATACCAACAATACAACCATAATCAAGAATGTGTATTTTATTATATCAAATATTTATTTTAAAATTATGTTGATGACATAATAGATTATTGAATATCTATTATATAATAATATAAAATTATTTTATACAGTCTACATACTATCTCTAATCTTATATGTACTAGTTAAGGGTCTCCTTGTTATTTTATTTTCATTTTTATTTATGTTTATTATAGAATAGTTAATGCTTGAGGTCACTTGTCATTTAAAAAAAAAACTGTCAACATTGCGTAAATATTATTAATAAAGTATTCTTTTAAGATTATCTACAATGATAAAATTATTCAACATTTATTTTTTCTATTTTTTACACTCCACATCATCTTCCCTCTCTTTCATTTAATAATTTAACACGCATTCAACTTTTACTCAGTACAATGGTTTTGTTTAATAAAATTCAACACTTTATTCTACCTCTTTTATTTTATATTTTTATTTTCTTTTTTATATTTTTGTTTTTTTATTATATATTAATAATAATTATCAATTGAAATTAAATTAAAATTATTTAGAACTACAAACAATAATTTATTGGAAGCTAAATAGAAAAATTAGAGAGAAAAAATAAATTTTTTTTCTTTCTTCAAATCAAATGAACCAATGCTCTATTTATAGACAAAAAAAAAATGATGAATTTTGGTGAAAAATAAAAATATAAACAATCACAGCAATCAATTATATTTTGTAAAGTATTATAAGTAGCCTTCACTCATTTCTCATTCAACATATTAAATGTTTTCAACACAAATTAATTCATGTCATATTCAACACCCTCATTACAATTGCAAGTAGTCTAATATGAGAGTATGAACTATACTTTACATATTTAATACTCTTTCCGACTTATAATAAATATTTTATTTATATTTTTTCTTTTTCACCAAATAATTGTTGGTTTACAATTTCAATGTATAATTTATTATTATTCTTTTACTATTATATTTTTTTTATTAATTTTTATTTTATTCAACTACTTTATTAATTACAATTAATATAGGTATTCTAATAAATGTCATTAATTTTTTCACTAAAACCAACACGTCTAATTATTTTCCTAATAACTGCATATTATCTAAATAATACACTTTTATGAGAGAGTACACTCATTTTTTTTCTTCATTTTTTATACTTTACATCATCTTCTCTTTCTTCTCCATAATAATTTAACATCTATTCAACTTTAACTCATTACAATGATTTTGTTTAATAAAACTCAATACCCTACCCCATAACTTTTATTTCATATTTTTATTTTCTTTTATATTTTGGTTTTTATGATTTTATATTAATATTAATTATCGATTGAAATAAAATTAAAAAAATTAAGAATTAAATAGTTTAAATTTTTTCTAATTTAATAATTTATTTGAGTTTTTTTTCTAATTTTATATTCCTAATTTATTTAAATTTTTTAATTTTATAGGGGTCATTATTAAAAACAAATAAAAGTAGATAAAATAAGTGTTTATTGGAGGTTAAATAGAAAAAAAAATGAGAGGAAAAATAATTTTTTTTGTGTCTAAATCAAATGAACCAAATCTTTATTTATAGACAAAAAAATGATAAATTTTGGTGAAAATAAAAATAAATAAAAAATTAATTTATTATAAAGTAATTGATTCTAAATAGTTAAGGTGAATTAAAAATCTAAACAATCACAACAATCAATAAGATTTTGCAAAATATTATATATGGTCTCACTCCCTCCTCATTCAACATGTTGAATTTTTTCAACACATATTAATCCACCTCATTTTCAACATTTTATTCAATATATTTCATTACACCTATTTAATTATTGAATACATTTTTCAACACCCCTATTATAACCCTATTATAAGGAGAGGTGTCAATAGCAATAAAACCTCTTGTACAAAAATATCTGTTTTTGTTTGACATTGTGTTAGTTTGAGATTAATGTAGGAAAGTTGGATAATTTAATTATCGAATTGGAAAAGTGAGATATAATTGTTAAAGAAAACTTTTAGTTTAATTATGAGCAATGTTTTAAAATTTGGAACCAACGTCGTATAAAACTTTTAGTTCATGTTCATTTAGATTAATTGGTTAATTTACTGTCTGAGTTTTTTATTAAATAAGTTAATAGTATAAAATAAAATTTTAAGGATAAATTTCACAATCATATATGTTCACAAAATTTTAAAAAAAATATTTTAAAAATTCATTACAAATTTAATATTATAAGATCAATGATAGATATAATTGCATAATATAATGAAACCCTTAAAGAAAATAAATTATAATATAATGTTATAATTTAAAATTTTAGATTACTCTTTTGTGTTAAAAAATAATATTTTTTACGAAGGAAAATGTTTTAATTATTGATGTTAACACAGTAAATAATTTTTAATTTTTTATAAAAAATATTAAATTTGGCTAGTGACAGACATTTCTTTGAACTGACGATTTTAGAAAATTGATTCCAATTCTTTGATTTATATGGTTTTGAGCGGCACAACCCGATTTTTTTTTTGGTTTTGAGCCATCTGCGTTTTATAAGACCGGTCAGACCGAAGTCACTTTCGGTTCCTTATTCAATCAATTGAATTGGACGATTCGATCTGATTTTTAAAATATTGATTATGAGACAAAAAAATTAATTTTAATAGAATTGATTTTAACACAATTGATTTTAGTTAATAATAAATTAATTTTTATTTGCATCATTAATATAAAAGAGATTCGTAGCTATTCTAGATATTTGGATCAATGTTTTAAAAATAGGGTCAAATCGGTTGAACAGAAAATTGGAGATGAATTCAGTTGGATCAATCTTTCAGAACTGTTAGTGGATCAAAACCGAAGTAAAATAGAAAAAAATTAGATTAAACCGTCTAAAATCCGAACTAAAGAATCGAAGTCGGTTCTGTAAAATCGTCCGATTTAAAAAAATATATCAAATTGACTATTTTTTAATAATTTTTTTGATTAAGTCTATTATATTATTTATTTTTGTTATTCTATCTTATTTAACTTAAGTATTTTTAATTATTTAAACTTTATTTTAGATATTATGTTCTATTATTTTAAATTTGATTTAAATTAATTTAATTTAATTTATTATAATTTTTTAATTTATTTAAATTATTTTTAAATAAACATTGAAATGAAATGTACAACTATGTTGTGTCATTATATGTATTATTGATATTGTTGTATTAAATTTGTAATAAATTTTTAAAATATTTTTTTATTAAATTGTGAATATAATTATATGTGATATATTTATGAAATTTAATTTCATATTATTAGTTTATTTAATAAATAATTCGACCGTGAATTTAATCGATTGAACTGATTAAATTTTAAATCGAAAATTTTATCAGCTCGATCTCTAATATAGTTTTTAAAACATTAATTTAACTAGTATAAACCAAAATTAATTTTATACATAATTATTAAAATAGGTCTTAATTATTATTATATTATATTACTAAATTTGATATAACGGTATAAAAATCAATACGAAAGTAAATAATATTTATAAACATAGCAGTATTTCTTAAATGAATGTGATATATTATTTTTATTATTTAATTATTATTTTTACTTTATATTAAATTAGATTTTTGTCCATATTTTAATTTTTATGTTAAATTATTAAATTGGGTCATTCTCCTTATTTATTAAGATTAGGATTTTTTCCTTATAGTCCATTATCTTTTCTTTAACAAATAGATTTTTTAGTCTTTCTAACCTTTAGAAGCTCCATGCAGCGCAAAAGAAAAGTGAATTGTCCCTTTCAAAGAAATAATACAAAGACAAAAATTATAATCAAATATCTAAAATTCAATTTCTATGAATATTTTATTTAAGTTTAATTTAATGTATATTTCCTTCTTCTATCTATTTCTCTTTAGAGTTAAATCTGATTTAAGGAGGGTAAATTTGAATTTTTTTTTGTATTATATATATATATATATATATATATATATATTCAAAAGAATTTTAATTTTATTTTCAAAAATGTGTGAGGTTATAAATTATATTCTCACATCTTTTTTTTAAAGTTTTATCAAATTAAATTCATATTTTTTATTTTATTTTTAAGAATGTAATTTATTCATGAATTTGTTATTTATTATTCTCATGTAAAAAAGTGGAAACCTAACACTAATCTCTCACCTAAATTATTTTCACTTTTTATAAATTTTTAAAAATAATAAATTAAATATCTTTTATAGATATTTCAAAGAACTCCAACACACACTACACACACGCACGCGCACGCGCGCGCACATATATATATATATATATATATATATATATATATATATATATATATATATATATATATATATATATATATATATATATATATATATATATATATATATATATATATATATATATATATATATATATATATATATATATATATATATATATATATATTGTACTGGTCAAAAAGTATATGTGTGTTTCCTCTTAAAGGACGGAGAGACTCAAAGACCTTAATAGTTGT